CCCCCCTCCTCTAGCCTCCTCGCTTCCAGTGCGGAGGTCGACTCGGGACTAAGCCCCACCCACCCCCACTGAAGCTCCACCCCTTGATGAGGGACTGACCTATTGGGCTCCCTTCCTGCCTGAGGCCCCGCCCCTTACTGAAGCCCGCCCCTCTGGTGCCTATGAATGCAGAGGCTCCGCCTCTGGGCCCCGCCCGTTTCCCCAGCCTCACGGTTCCCATTGGCCCTCTTCAGCCGAGGCCCTGCCCCACGCCGCAGCCCCGCCCCTCACCTCGCTGACGGCCTTGCGGTCGGGCGTCTTGGCTGCACTGAGCAGGCGCAGCACGTTCTTGGCGCCCTCGGCCACCGCGTGCTCCACGCGGAAGTGGTGGCGCAGTTCCTCGATGCGCAGCTCCGCGGCCCCCAGGTCCGGACCCCCTGCAGAAGGGAAATGGGGCGGGGAGGGGCCCACACTGAGCTATCACCACCAGGCAGTCACCCCACAGCCAGGGACACCCCTGACCGCACTGTCAGACCCTGCCCCAGTCCACACGCGGGAGCCCGGTTCCCGGTGGGGCGGTCTACAAAGCCCTCATGGCTTCACACAGGAGCCATGCTGATGACAGCTTGCAGGCCTGGGGAGCCTTTTTCCGCCCCCTGGTGGCCGTATGAGGTATTTACAACATCGTTTGCTGGACCATGCAAAATGAGCAGCTTGAAAATCAGCTGTGGCACAGCGGGTAAAGCCGCTGCCTGCAAGGCCAGCATCCCATATGGGCGCCAGTTCGAGTCCCGGCTGCTCCACTTCCCATCCAGCTCCCTGCTATGGCCTGGGAAAGCAGTGCAAGACAGCCCAAGTGCTTGGGCCCCTACACCCGCGTGGGAGACCCGGATGGAGCTCCCGGTACAGGTTCTCGAGTGGGCTGCCGGCGAGGCGCTCACCGTGGGCCTCATCCGCGGCCGCCTGGCTCCCCAGCTGGTCCGCCTGTAGGGCTCGGTGGAGCTGCATGCGAATGATGTCAATCTTGGTCTTGCTGTCTTGTAGCACCTGCTGGGCCGTCAGCAGCAGCTTCCGGTCCTGGAGACAGGAGAGGAGGTAGCTGGGTAGCTGGGGTTGGGGGCAGGGCTGGGTGCTCTGAGCAGGGTGTACCTAGTGTAAGATGCAGCGCCCTAGAGGGCCATGAGGCACCCACGTCCGCGCGCGTTCCCAGCAGGGGCGGCACAGGGCACGCGCAGTGAAGCCAAGGGGTTTCGAGGGATCTGGGTCGTGGCTCTGCCACTTTAAGAGCTGTGCGACTGCGGACGGGACCTTCCACCCTCGCTGGGAGCCAGGACCTATTTGCTCAGAACCAGGGCTGGCACCGGGAGGGTCTGCGTTTGCAGTAACTCCGGGACAGTGCACGTGGGGGGGCCCCCACAGCCGCGCCCCGAAACGCCCCCACGTGGTGTCCACGGGAAATGTGCAGAATGGGCACTGGTGGTGGCCTGGGGCTGGGAAAGGAGCGCCTGGAGTGATGGATGAGGGGGCAGGGCTTCTCCCAAGCGGGGGTGGGGGCAGAATGTTCTAGAACTATTCACAGGTAATGGTTCTACAATACTGCGAATGGATCTAACACCGCTGGGTTATATAATAGTAAAATGTATCTAGTTATTTGAAAGGCAGAGAGACAGAGAGACAGACAGAGAGAGAGAGAGAGAATCTTCCATGCACTGGTTCACCCCCTAAATGGCCACAATGGCCACAGCTACTCCAGGCCAAAGCCAGGAGCCTGAAGCTCCATCCAGGCCTCCCACGAGGGTCCTGGGACCCAAATCCTCAGGTCGTCACCTGCTTGCTCTCAGCAAGGAGCTGGATCAGAAGCAGAGCAGCCGGGACTTGAACCAGCACTGGACGCCGGCACTGCAGGCAGGGGTTTAACCCACTGTCCCACTGTACAGGTCCCTGAATTATATATTTTAAAATGGCTAAAAATGGTAGATTTTATGTTATGGGTATTTTACTACCATAAGAAAAAAATTCAAGGCCAGCGCTGTGGCATAGGGGTTTAAAGCCCCGGTCTACAGCATCAGCATCCCATATGGATGCCGGTTCAAGTCCTGGCTGCTCCACTTCCAATCCAGCTCTCTGCTGTGGCTTGGGAAAGCAGTGAGAGATGGCCCAAGTCCTTGGGCCCCTGCACTTGCGTGGGAGACCGGGAGGAAGCTCCTGGCTCCTGGCTTCGCTCCGGCCATTGCAGCCATTTGGAGAGTGAACCAGCGGTTGGAAGACCTCTCTCACCTCTCTCTCTCTCTCTCTGCCTCTACTTCTGTCTGTGTGTGACTCTTTCAAATAAATAAATAAATCTTTAAAAAATAAAAGAAAGAAAGAACTAGAAGAGAAGTTCAGAGGTCCCCAAGAAATAGACATGACAAACATTTATGGCGGTGCGGGTGGGTGTCAGGCCGGGCAAGGGTCTCCAGGTGTCCTTGGGGGGCAGGAGGCAGTGCCCGCCGTGGGGGCTGCGTGTTGCCGCGCACAGCCCGTGGCGTACCCCAGTGACAGGGGAGGGGGCCACGGCCTCTGCTGCTCCGGGGAGCTGCCTGTGCCCAGCCCTGCCGCCACACATCAGCAGGATCCCCTGCAAGCCCGACCCGCAGGCACCACTAGAGGGCGCCCCGTCCCCACCGCCCCAGCTTGGGACTTGCTCCTGGGGGTGTGGCAAGCAGGCGGGTGCATCCAGGCGGGTGCACACGCGGGGGCTCTCACGCAGGCGTGCGTGTGCATGCAGCTGGCGAGTGCGCGCCGGCCCACCTTGCTACTGCCGTTGCTGTACGTTTGGATCATGTTTTCCGCCCCTTGCTTCACTTTCAGCTCGATGGCCAGCTGCTTCTCCAGCACCGCCACGCGGCTCAGGTTGGTGGTGGCCGAGCAGGCGGGGCCCCCCGCGCCCGGGGATTCAGGGGCATCTGCACAAGAGGAGGCGGCGGGAGAGTCCCCAAGGCTGGCACCGCCATCTGCCTGCCGCCCCCCCCACCCCCGAAGAGGTGTTGTCCCACCTGAGCTGTGGGGGAGGGGACACCAGGGCCCAGAGGGGTTCCCCAGGAAATCCACCCTCCAAGGGCCTGCGCCATCATCTGCTGTTTCCCAAGAGCATTAACAGGGAGCTGGTTCCCAGGCAGAGGAGCCAGGACGCCAGCATCACAGGCGACCACTTAACCCCCACTACGCCATAGCAACGGCCCCCAAACTTTAATACCAAGAGTGAGGGTAAGCATTCAGTCTCCCAGTGAAGCCTCGTCCCAAGGCCAGCTCCCTGCGCATGCGCACAGCAGGTGGGGGCTCAAGTCCTTGGGTCCCTGCCGCCCACGTGGGAGACCCCGGATGGAGCTCCTGGCTCCTGACAGGGACCCAGCCAGCCCTGGCTATCGCAGGCATTTAAGGAGTCAATTAGCAGATGGGAGAGCTGTCGCTGTGCTGGTTATCTCACTCACTCTGTGCCAAGTAATTAAAATTTAAAAACAAAGGAATAAATAATGCGCCTCTGGATATTATCCAGGTACAGGTGTGGATTGTCTGGGTGTTGTGGGTGCAGGTGTGGCTGTGTCTGGATGTCTCTGTCCATGTGAGCAGGTGCACACAGTGTTGTTCTGACTGTGGGTCCAGGTATTGGAGTGGACCTCTCTGGGCATGGCTGTGTGTGTCTGTGTGGGCTGTGGCATCTGCTCTGGCTCTCTGTGGAGGCTGGGTGTCTCCCTGGGGTTGGTGGCGGTGGGCTCCAGTGTGACAGGTGGGCAGGGATTGCCACTGTAACGCCCCGCCCCACCCAGGCCCCGCCCCAGCCCCCCACCATGCAACCCCGCCCTGACTAGATCCCCTACCCGCCCCGCCCCCCCCCGCCCCTGCCACGCCCCCTACCTCTGCCTAAGCCCAGCCCAGCCCAGACCCCGCCCCCGCCGGTCACCTCGGGCCGCAGGGTCCGGCAGCACCACGTGCGCGTGCAGCTCCTGCAGCTGCTGGTGCAGCAGGTCGAGGCGGCGGGCGGAGCCCCGCAGCAGGAGCTCCACGGGGCCCAGGCTGCGGCCCAGGTCGGTGGTGGCCCGCCGCAGGTTCTCGGCGCCCTCCTTGAGCTTCAGCTCCTTGCGGATCTCCCGCCGCAGCCGCTCGCGCTCCAGCTCCAGCTGCTGCTGCACGCCGGGCGCCGCCAGGTCCGCCCCCGCCAGGCCCAGCTGCTCCAGCAGGGACCAGCTACGGGGCTCGCTCTGCGGGGGGGGGGGGGGGGGGGCAGGGTCAGCAAGGGCGACGGACCTCTGACCCCTCCCACCTGGGAGGTCAAAGGGCAGGGCCTGCTTCCTGCCCTGTTTCCCTTCAGATGAGGGGACCCCGCAGAAATAGCCCAGTACTCAGCGGGATGACTGGGGGCAGGTCCCGCCGGCCCCCACCACATCCCAAGGACAAGTCTGCACCCCAAACCCGAGAGGCCCCAGGACGGGCTGTGTCCCCTCCCCCTCTCCTCTCCAACTGGGACCACCAAAAGGCACAGCTCTGCGTCCTACGGCCCCTACTGCCTCCCCGCTGGGAGCCCTGGAGGCCCCAGACTTCTCCCTCCTCTGAGAACACACAACTCAGATCAGCGGCCCCGCTCCGCGCCTCGCCTCGCCTCGCCTCTCCTCTCATCCGGGTCGGGCCCACAGGAACCCAGGCAGCGGCCCCCTAACCACGCAGCTTGGGGTACCCCCCTTCCACCTGCCACCCAGCTCCAGGGACCCCAGCCTCCACCTCTGGCTCCGAAGGGACATCAGCCTCCGCCATCCTGGGTCCGGGCTGAGGGCCCCGCCCTCTTCCTGAACCTCAGCTCTGCCAGGGCCTCTCGGCCCCACCACTTCCTCTTTCCTGTGAGCTCCCAGCACCCTCCGCGCCCGGCCAGCTCGGGGGCATTGTGGGCAACTGCCCTAGGTTCCCCCAGGGCGGACGGGCCTCAATGTGTTGAGAGTTTGTGCAAGGGGTACACAGCGTGCACACCCTAACAGGCACCCATGGGGGACACAGGCTTCAGGGGATGACTTGGGTGTGCACACGCATTCACACATGTGCGTGCATGGGCATGGGATGCAGATACACAAGTATGTGCACACTCCCACACCTGCGGAGGTGTACCTGGGACACAGGCTCCTAGGGGTGCACACACACCCACACCTGCAGAGGTGTGCCTGGGACACGGGCTCCTAGGGGTGCACACTCCCACATCTGCAGAGGTGTGCCTGGGACACGGGCTCCTAGGGGTGCACACTCCCACACCTGCAGAGGTGTGCCTGGGACACGGGCTCCTAGGGGTGCACACACTCCCACACCTGCAGAGGTGTGCCTGGGACACGGGCTCCTAGGGGTGCTCACTCCCACACCTGCAGAGGTGTGCCTGGGACACGGGCTCCTAGGGGTGCACACTCCCACACCTGCAGAGGTGTGCCTGGGACACGGGCTCCTAGGGGTGCGCACTCCCACATCTGCAGAGGTGTGCCTGGGACACGGGCTCCTAGGGTGCACACTCCCACACCTGCAGAGGTGTGCCTGGACACGGGCTCCTAGGGGTGCGCACACACTCCCACACCTGCAGAGGTGTACCTGGGACACGGGCTCCTAGGGGTGCACACACACTCCCACACCTGCAGAGGTGTGCCTGGGACACGGGCTCCTAGGGGTGCACACACACCCACACCTGCAGAGGTGTGCCTGGGACAGGGCTCCTAGGGGTGCTCACTCCCACACCTGCAGAGGTGTGCCTGGGACACGGGCTCCTAGGGGTGCACACTCCCACATCTGCAGAGGTGTACCTGGGACACGGGCTCCTAGGGGTGCACACTCCCACATCTGCAGAGGTGTGCCTGGACACGGGCTCCTAGGGGTGCACACTCCCACACCTGCAGAGGTGTACCTGGGACACGGGCTCCTAGGGGTGCGCACTCCCACACCTGCAGAGGTGTGCCTGGACACGGGCTCCTAGGGGTGCACACTCCCACACCTGCAGAGGTGTGCCTGGACACAGGCTCCTAGGGGTGCACACTCCCACACCTGCAGAGGTGTGCCTGGGACACGGGCTCCTAGGGGTGCGCACTCCCACACCTGCAGAGGTGTGCCTGGGACAGGGCTCCTAGGGGTGCTCACTCCCACACCTGCAGAGGTGTACCTGGGACAGGGCTCCTAGGGGTGCACACTCCCACACCTGCAGAGGTGTGCCTGGACACGGGCTCCTAGGGGTGCACACTCCCACACCTGCAGAGGTGTGCCTGGGACACGGGCTCCTAGGGGTGCACACTCCCACACCTGCAGAGGTGTGCCTGGGACACGGGCTCCTAGGGGTGCACACTCCCACACCTGCAGAGATGTGCCTGGGACACGGGCTCCTAGGGGTGCACACACACTCCCACACCTGCAGAGGTGTGCCTGGGACACGGGCTCCTAGGGGTGCACACACACTCCCACACCTGCAGAGGTGTGCCTGGGACACGGGCTCCTAGGGGTGCTCACTCCCACACCTGCAGAGGTGTGCCTAGACACACTCCCACACCTGCAGAGGTGTGCCTGGGACACGGGCTCCTAGGGGTGCACACTCCCACACCTGCAGAGGTGTGCCTGGGACACGGGCTCCTAGGGGTGCACACTCCCACACCTGCAGAGGTGTGCCTGGACACAGGCTCCTAGGGGTGCACACTCCCACACCTGCAGAGGTGTGCCTGGGACACGGGCTCCTAGGGGTGCGCACTCCCACACCTGCAGAGGTGTGCCTGGGACAGGGCTCCTAGGGGTGCTCACTCCCACACCTGCAGAGGTGTGCCTGGACACGGGCTCCTAGGGGTGCACACTCCCACACCTGCAGAGGTGTGCCTGGACACGGGCTCCTAGGGGTGCTCACTCCCACACCTGCAGAGGTGTACCTGGGACACGGGCTCCTAGGGGTGCACACACTCCCACACCTGCAGAGGTGTGCCTGGGACAGGGCTCCTAGGGGTGCTCACTCCCACACCTGCAGAGGTGTGCCTGGACACAGGCTCCTAGGGGTGCGCACACACTCCCACACCTGCAGAGGTGTGCCTGGGACACGGGCTCCTAGGGGTGCTCACTCCCACACCTGCAGAGGTGTGCCTGGACACGGGCTCCTAGGGGTGCACACTCCCACATCTGCAGAGGCTCCTGGGCTGTGCACACCCCCAGGCCTGCCTGCCTGCCTGCGGACATGCATACACCAGTGAGTGCTGCTCGGGTCATTCCAGAACCGACCCAGTGCACACACACACACACACACACACCCCGTGCCCAAGTGCACACAACCCACATGCTCCCACACGCAGGCGCCCCTGCAGGTCTCCATGGCACAACTCCAAGGCCTCCAACCTTTGTGACCTGCACATGTCCCTGTGGCCGGACCCTCCCACGCACCCCCTGTCCCCAACTTCCCCTTCAGGGTCAGGACAGCGCGTCTGCTAGGCAGTCCCCCCACCCCGCCTCTTCCTCCACAGAGACCGCCCAGCTTCCTGCTTCCTCTCTGGCTGGCCGGCCAGCGGCTGCTGACCACAGCTTAGAGGCTTAGGGCGCTGGGTGGGCCCAGAAGCGGCTCCCTGAGCCTGACCTCATGAAACAGCATGGGGGGGGTGGGGCTGGGACACGAACGTCCCCAGGCCAGCAGCCCACAAACCACACCCTGAGCACACATTAACACTCGAGTTCAGCTACGAGGACCAGCAGTTGCTGCAAACCTCACCAAGGGCAGCTAACACAAGTGCATGAGCTGGGTGCCATTATCAGCCCATTTACAAGAGCGCATAACTGAGGCCCAAAGGGCCCCCACCAAGGTCCTACCGCCAGCAGGAGGCAGGGCCAGGATTTAAAGCAAGAATTCTCCAGGGGTAGGCGTTATAAGGTGCAGCATCTGCATCCCATATAGAGGAGTCCCAGTCGCTCTGTGCTGCCAAGCCAGCTCCCCGCTATGGTGTCTGGGAGGCAGCAGGTGGTGGCTCAAGTCCTTGAGTCCCTGCCACCCATGTGGGAGACCCGGATGGAGCTCCAGGCTCCTGGCTTTGGTCTGACCCCGTCCCGGCCGTTGCAGGCATTTGGGGAGTGAACCAGCAGATGGAAGATCTCTGTCTCTCATTTCAAATAATCTTGACCCTGAGCAGGGCCCTTATTCTACTCACTCCACAGGGTGGTCCTCAGTGGAGGGGGCATTTCCTACCCATGCCCCCACCCCCACCCCGATGTCCCATCTGGCACGGGACAGCACCCACCAACAAGAACCACCCAGCCCCAAACATCAGCATGCTAAATGCTTGGGCCCCTTCCAACCCCTCTCCTTCCAAGAAGCTCCGGGGTTCAAAGGTCATGAACCCACCAGGATTTCACAGCCAGGCGGCTTCCCCACAAACGCACTGGAATTTAAATCTAGGCTTACCTAGGGCCACCCCGGGCTCAACCAGGCCCCGCCCACCCCTCCCACCGCCAAGCCCCACCAGTCCCCAGCAGGCATGAGCAGACACAGCCAGGAGCAGGACCGCCCAGGCAGAGGGGTGGGGCAGCTCCTCCTCCAACAGCTGAGAGCTGAGATCCAGGGCGAGGGCTGCCGGCCTCCCGGGGCCTCCCTGCTGGGGGTGACTCACTTTTACCCGGGGGTGAGAGGTGACCAGAGAGCCAGCCAAGCAAACCCAGCCATTAGGGGCCCTGCCTGGTGTTGGAGAGTCCCTGCTCCTCCAACCTCCCACCACGGAGCAGGAAGACCCCAGACCCAGACGGCCCACCTCCCAGAATGCCCCTCTTCCCAAAGCAGCCAGGGACCTAGACCCCCATGCCGCGCCCCCCCCCCGCCCCCCTTGTCCGGAGATTTCAATGCCTTGGGTGTTTCCGGAATCTAGACAGGACATCCGTCGGCCGGACACAGAACAGACAGGCACACGTCGGCGTTGGGGACAGAGGGACAGGGCAGCAGCGCCCCCCCATCCCCCCATCCCAGCAGCCACGAGAAAGCCATGGACCAGGAGGGAGGGAGGCAGGGAGGGAAGGGAGAAGGGGGAACCAGGGCACGGGTCCAGCCTCATTCCGGAACCACAGCCTCCGTGTGGGTCCTACGTGGTGCTCGGCAAAGCGCATGCAGGCGCCAGGGGTCTCCTCCCCGGGCCTGGGGGGCAGGCAGGGACCCCGGCCCATCCCGGCGCCCGAGGTCTGACCTTGTGTGCACGGCAACACCAGATACGCCCAGCTCCTTGGCAAGGCTGGCAGGCCATCAACAGGACTGAGGGTGCTGGGCACAGGGGAGACACGGAGGGGGTGGGGGTGGGGAGCAGGTGCAGAGGAGAGAACCTGGTTACACACACGACACACACACAGGGCGGCGGACTGCAAGGTGAGACACAGCCACGGATCAGATTTGGGTCACTGAACTCCGCGATGGCCCAGGTCCCCCTGGTTACAGGTGAGTCTGGGAGCAATATGGCCCCCCTAAGGGGCACAAGGAGAATAGGGAGGGCTGAGTGGCCAGCTGAGGCCAACCATGTGTCTCCGTGGAGGTTTGGGGGGGGCAGGGGTTCCCTAAGGGACCACAGGAACATCCCGGAATGGTCCACTTGGACACTCCCCCAAACTCCCGCGCCCTGTCCGACCTAAGGTCTACCTGGCAATCCAAGCGGTGTGCGAGGGGGTCCCCAGCCGCGCCCCCCACCCCGGTCTCCTCCCACCCCGGACCTAATGAGGTGACTCGGACACTTCCGCCAACAGGTGCCAATCTGGGTGGCGTCCGGACCACGGTAAATTAGCTCCGTCCCGAGGCGGAGGTGGCAGCGCGGGGGAGGGGCACGGGCCGGGCGGCCTCCACCCCCCTCCCGGGGCACCGGGCCAGGCACCTGTCCCAGGTGGAGCGAGCGGCACCTGCCAGAAACCGAACGCTGGGGAGGCGGGGGTGGGGGGTGAGTAAGGAGGATGGAGTCGAAAAGAAGGGGGTCACACATCCAGCCAGAGACGCCCCCGCCCCAAGGACCACCTCGAACGCGCTCCCTCAGATTCCCGGGGAGGCGCTGAGTTTGGGGATGCTGCGAGGGCCTCCAGACCGTACCCCAGCCCACCCGTCCCCGGCCGCCCAGTCCGTACCTTCACCTGCAGAGAAGGGGGCCGTGCTGGCTCCACGGTCCCAGCCCGGGGAGGGGGCGCCGGGCGCTCGGGAGGCCCCCGCCCTCGCCGCCCGGCTCCCGGCGTGCCCGGCAGCGTGCGGCCGGGGGTCCCCGGCGGCGCCGTCCGCTCGCCCCGCGCCTGCGGACGCAGGTGCGCCTACCTGCACGGCGTCGCTGGCCATGTCCTCCTGCCGCCCGCCAGGGGTCCCCGCGCGGAGGGAGGGGCGGCGAGCGGAGCGCGCGTGCGCCACGGGCGGGGCGGGCAGGGGGCGGGAGCGGCGCGACCCTGCCCCGGCGCGCGGCCCGCTCCGGCCTGCTCGGCTCCGGCCCCGCCTGGCCAGGCCGCCGCCGCGTCCGCGCGCGCCGCGCCCTCCGGCCCCAGCGGCCGGCTCGGTCACGTGACCGCCGAGGTCGGCGCCCGGGGAGGGGGCGGGGCCGGGGGCGGGGCTCCCGGCGGCCCCCGGGGCTGCGGCCCCCACCCCACCGCCAGCCGGGAGCGCCTCCTCCACCCGCTACCGCTCGCTTCTTGTGCCTGAGTCCCGCGCGCTCCCCGCAGCACAGCGGAGCGCGCGGGAATCCTAAGGGCCGGGGGGAGCGGCGGAGGTCTTGGGGGGCCTGCTGGGACCCCCTCCTCAAAAAAGAAAAAGCAAAGACTTGAGCGCCTCGTGTAATTTGCAAGCTCAGGCCGCCTGGACCCGGGGTTCTCCATGCAAGGGTGCAGCCCCCACCCCCATCTCCACTGCTGCCTGGACAGATGTGGGTTCAAATCCCAGCACCCCGTGCCGCGGGGCTCCCTCAAACCCCTTCAGGGCGCCTGCTCCTGTTATGGGAGGAAGATTTACTCACCTCTCGGGTGTGGGTAAATTAAATGCGGCCGTGTGTGCCAAGTGCTGAGAAGACACTAAGTAGCTGGCCTCCCTCGAAATGTCACGGTCTTTATTGTTCTGTTAAAAGGCTTTGAATTCTCCGGCGGCCTCGGCGGCCCCTGGGGCAGCGAGCCTCAGTTTTCCCCCTCTGTATAATGGGGCATCGGACTCTTTTTTTTTTTTTTTTTTCAGAGTCGCTGCGTGCGGAGCGGTACCCGAGCAGAGGGTGCCAGGGGCGGGCAGCGGAGCGTGCAAACTGGGTTCGTGGCCGCCGTGGGATAACCCTCACTCGCCGTCGGGATCTTGCAGGAAAGAAAGGAGCCGGATCTGGATGGGCCCCTGGGGGCTTGCAGGCAGGGGGTGGGCTCCCCCCTCCCGCCCCCACCCAGAGATCCGCTTTGGGTGCAGGTGCCTTGGTCCCGCATGGGGTCCCGTCATCCCAAGGGACCGGGCCGCGGTGTTTGCTCTCTCTCATTTCCAGCCAACTCTCTGGAGGGGTTGGGGGGGGGGTTATAAAGGAGGCTGGTGCGGAGTCGGTGCGTTTTTCTCAGCTTCACCACCAAATCCCGCATCCCAGCCACGGCTCACCTGAACAGGTGCAGCCCCCAAGGAGCCCGGGAACACAGCCGAGTCAAGGCAGGACCCTGCTGTCCCTGGACCACCTGACTCAGAGCAAATGTCCCTGGAAGCCGTCAAGACAGGGGCCTGCCCCTCCTCCCCTCCCCTGTCCTCTGAATGTTTGTGGATTGAATGGAGAAAGTCTGCGAGCTCCTTTTCCTGAAACTAGGAAAACTTGAAAAGTCCCTCGCCCCAGGCCGCTTTTGTCTTCTGGCCCTTGCCCTTGGGGGGATTTGGCGTCTCTCCCCAAGCCTTTCAGCTCTACCCATTTCACAGATGGGGAGAACAAGGCAGAGTGAGGTTTCCCAGCAGGGTCAGGCCCCTGTCTCCCGTCTGCCAGTCCCCAAGCTGCCTTCCTTGCCCGGAGCCAGCCGGGGAGACTTGCCAAGTTCTCGCTCCAAGCTTTAGGGATTCGTTTGTGGAGGGACTTTGGAGGCACCTGGGGACAAAGACGCCTCTGGCGCAGTCTCCACAGGGTCGGATGGCTGCCCCTGTGCACCCCCTGGCCTCTCCGGCCCCTCTGCCTTCCACTCTGGGGCTGATGCCATGGCCACCGCCTGCCTTCTCTTGCTAGGTATCCTGTCTCCCAGCAGACAGGATTATCTTTGTCATGCCTCTGGGCTTTACTCCCAACCACAGGGCCTTTGCACTGCCCGTTACCGAGTCTGCAAGCCCTCTCCCATCCCACCC